TTGGACAAGGAGAATTCCATGCTCTGTACCACCTAATCAAGGGGAAATTACCTTAGCTTCCATACTTGTTATTTCTAGGCACTGAGGTGACACAAGAAATAAATGATACCTCAGGAAAGTTGGACACCCCAGAAACCGGTGAAGAAGTGGCTGGCTAGCCCTGGCCGTGCCATGTGACTGTGTGTCCCCGAGGACTCTGACCTGAGCATGCCTGAACACTCCGACCTTTTGAGCCTAAGTCTTCAGGGGCCCACACAGGGCCCACCTGCTGGCCATTTATGGAATAGCCTACTCATAAGAAGAGCCTTGTTCACAAGTAGAACATTACTCATGGGAAGTGCATATCAAGGCAGGTGTGTTTCCTTCCCAGAGCCTGGTGAGCACAGACCTTTGGATAGCTGACCCCCCTGGGCCAGGTGGCTACTCCACCTCTGCCTCTCCGAGGGAGTGATCTAAATCTTCACAGGAAGAGCCAACAGTTGCATTCCCCAAAGGTGCTCTACATGATGTGAAGCTTTTGGTTCTATTGAGGGAGGCTCACGCTTGTGAACATGCTCCATTCAAAGCTCCAGATGTGTGCTTATGCTCCCCTATTCCAAAAGCATTGCAAATAGTTGAGCACCTGCTCTCATTCCACAGATACCCACACTAAGGCTGCACGTCATCAGCCTCATAGCATCAGGAGGTAAACTTGCTTATCATTTTCCCCCTGCCTCTTTAAGCCGGGAGGAAGGGAAGATGGAAAGTTGAGCACACCCCTTCATGTCAATAAACCAGCCGAGACAAAGATGCTTGCCACTGTTTGTGTTCAAATAATTAACCTCAGTTTTGGGGCATATGTGGAAAGCGCAGTAAGTAGGAATCTTCGCCAGAAAGAGGATCCACTCCTTCCTTCCATTTCCCTTCTCTCCCCTGCAGCAGAGTCACTCTAACTTCATCACACCCCAGACTGCAGTTATGGCCTGCTGACACCCTCTCCGTTACCTGCTTCTGATCAGCAAGTGCATCCGTTTAGCAGGCCCGCTCCCTTGCCTTTCCTTCCTGCCTCCGGTTTGCTGAAGAACCCAGCCAGCTTCTCCCTGCTCCTTGTTCTAGCTCTTCCTTTGGTTTCAGTGTCTTCAGGGAGAGGAATGATTTGCCACCTACTTCTTTTTGCTCACAAGCTCAACTCCCCGTGTCCCCTCCTTCTCCCCACCTGCTAGTCAACTGCATTAAATCATTGCTGGGAAGCGGCTTTTAATAATTGAAACCATTTAACCCTATAAAATGCTGCTTTCCTCTGCCTGATCAGTGGTATGTACCTTTTAATTCCTTTCAACTAATTCCTGCTGGGTTAAACAACTGTGTTTTTGGTCCCTTACCTTTTAAGATGCTCAGGGTGAAAAGATCCCATCAAGGCTGCATCTTTGAAAGTGTGCACTCAAACAAGCATCCATGTGAAAAAGGATGCTTGTAACAAGTTGAGCACAGGTTCCCTGAGGGCAGGAAGTCTGAAATCCCACTGCATGCAATTGTTAAATAGTGTACCCTCCATAAAGGAATAGAAGAATAAGGTAGATTTCAACCTTATGCGTGATTAGATGAATGTTTTCAATTAAAGCCTTTATTAGTTCTATCTCCATCTTGACTAAGTCATTAGGAAGTTATAGGATCATCAAATGCATAAGAAATGAAGACAAATAAGCATAGCAACAGGAAGCACTGGGAAGAAGAAAAGCTATGCTCACCAAAGCACATGACAGAACACTCCACTTCCCTGGTTTTCTCTGAAAGCTGCCCTTGCCAGACAAGGGGTCCTGCAGAGGCTGACAGCCTCTTGCGCACCCTCGATTTGCTCTTACCCACAAGGATCCATATCCAGTGGCATTCTGGAAACTCATGGATGGAGCTCCTCTGATTGCTTCCCACCGTCATACAAGCAGTTGTGCTCTCAAAGCCGTTGTGCAATTGCATTGGCACAAATATAACTTAGTTATAGAACCAAACAGCCACGCTGGCACCCCAGAAAAGACTCCTTTTCTCTACAGCCCTGGAAGGAAAAGCCCTGTTGTACCTGACTCCCGAGGATCCTGACATAATAGAGATACCTATCAGCTTTCTCAGGGCATTCAGGATAGGCATGACTCCTCTAGGCTCCAGATAGGCATGACACAGCCAAACACTAGAATAATCAGCTGTCTCAGGGTATGCATGATAGGCTTAGCTCTCCTAAGCTCTAGCCCATTCAAATGTCTAGTAACTGCCTCAGAGAATTCCCTCAGAAAATGGAAAAAGCTTACCAAAGACGTAATGGGCAAAGATTGCTTAGAAGGTGTAAATTAAAAGATAAAACTTACTGCTAACCAAATCTGCTTCTGTATATCACTTGCTCAACTGCTTATGTGATTCTGTAACTCCCCATTGTCGCCATTGTTCTCATTCTTGTCAAAAACTGATTGTATTGTTCCCCATTTGCCAAAAGCGGATTGTGAAGGTATAAAGATCTCCTTCCAACTCTGTTCAAGCACCGCATTCCTCCATGAATGTGGTCCCTGCTGCAGGAATAAATCTCCTCTTTACTTCACCATCTGGTCTCTGGCCTCGTCTGTAACACCGCGGGTACAACATTTGGAGGCCCCAGCGAGATTCTAGACCCCGGCAAGACCAGAGACCAGCGGTCTGGCTTCCATCGAACCAGGGCCGGGCCCTTTTAGGCGATTTTAGCCTTTTTCTTTTTACCCCGGTTCGGTGGGACGTCTGGCTGGAAGAGGAGAATTGGTAAGCGCGCACGGCGGATTTTCCTTTCTTTCCGCCCTCTGTCTCTGTCTCTGTTTCTGTCTGGGTATCTGCAGATCTGGGTTGGAAAGAACAGCTTGGCTGGACGCAGCACTACAAGCTACTTTCCGGTCGTGGGCACAAGACGTTGGCCCCGGCTACTGCGGTCCCTTCCGGTATTGGCCGCTTGCCAGTTCCGGTATTGGCCGATTCTGCTCTGTTCTGGCTGTGTGTGTGTGCTTGCCGGCTGTCTCTCTGTCTGTCCAACGTTTTGTTCTTTGTAAAAAGTGTCTCCTGTCTCGTTTTTCTTTCCTCTATACTTGTTCCCTGTAAAGATTTTTTTCCAGATCAGGACGATGGGTCAACGCCAATCCCTTCCGCTTACCCCTCTGCAATGCCTCTTGAATAACTTCTGATTTTTCCAAAAGGGCTTCCGGATTCAGAGTGCCTGCGGATTCGGGCACGCTGCGAGTTAAAATGGCCACCGGGGGCTCGTTCGACCTTCCCCCTTTTGCAGGGAGTTCGATCTGAGCTTACTACCTCTGCAGCAAATTGCAGGGTGGTGTGAATTACAGGGGGCGGCATTTGCGGGGTTGCCGCGGAAGCAAGCGCTTGGTATTTTTTTAAAAACAGCATGGTCAGACCTAACTAAATTGGCCCTAGAAGGCTAACTTGTTTGAAATGGGCTACACCTTTTGCAAAAGCATTTGGCGAAAATACAATCTAAAGAAATGGAATAAGTTTTGCTTTGGTCCAAGCTGGTGGAAAGAAAAGGGAAAAAGAAAAAGCTAGCTTAATATAGTATTGGTGCACCAGGAAAGATCTACACGTGTGCGTATATGTTTGCACTGGGTTTCTGTGCAAAGTTTTTGTTTGTGGAAGTCTTGTGTTCATTGTTGCTGCCTGTGTTTTGTGCCCTGTCTGTTTGTATTTAAAGTGTTCCCCTTTCTGGGAGGTTAGCATAGCTCAGAGCGGGTTTTGGGGGTTCCTCAGGAAATAGAAACTCCCCCATGCAGCCGCACCAATCTTGTCCTCTTCAGGCATGGTTGAAAGCAAGGGCGTGGATGGGTGTTCTTGCCCCTGAGATGAGAATGTGTGAACCTGGCTTTGTTTGAGGTACAGATGCATGAGGTCATGGACCTGAGCCCAAGCATGGCTGAGTCCGGCTGGGAAAAAGGCGATGATCAGGGAAGTGTGTGTGTGAGATTTTTCCTTCCCCCATTCCTTCTATATGAGCCAGAACTGGGAAGTAAGGAAATGTGTGACCCTTAAAGTTGGGCTAACACAGGTCCTACCCAGTCTTCTGGACATCCTCAATAAGCTTATCCTGTGTGAAAGCCCTGTATGAAAGAGGGGTTATGTAGAAACACTTTTATGCAGATCCTTGTCAGAAACCGGGAACACTGTTTAATGTCTTGTTGCAAATTTTCCAGCTTCTTCCATCTACCTTACAGCCCTCCTAGGTAGGAAAAAAAAATCCTTCTTGTTGGAGTAAGTAATGGCATTTGAAATTCCAGGAGGGGATGCTGATGGGCAGATGAAAGATGGAAAATGCTTTCTTTGCAAGTTCCTGGGGGGTAGTTTATGGTTCTGGGATCGTTTTGGATTGTACTTTGGATCGAGAGGTGAAACTGTATCTGGAGGCTAAATGGCTTTAGGGAATCTATTCCTCGTCAGATATTGCTGGAGTATGTTTGTGAGGGAAGGCATGGGAAGGAAGGAAGGTTTGTTCAGGAGGAAACAGTGCAACAGGAAAGCACTGTGGTGTGGTTGTGATTTCATGGGGTTTGGATTGGAATTTTGTAGAAGTAGAAGGTAAAAGGCAAGTGAGCAAATGGATTGTGGAAATGAAAGAAATGAGGCAAAGATGCAGAAAGGAAGGGTTTTCTTTTATGTGTTGAGGTTTCTGGAAAGTAGTGGAACTTGGTTGGTTTTTCTCTCCCCCTGTTGAACTTGCAACTGTTTGGAATGTGAGGCTTGAGTGAAAAGCAAAAAGACTTTTATTTTTCTGAATGTTGTGTGTATGCCATGTGAGAATGAGTATGTATTGGACAGGAATTCCGTAATTCAGGGGGTGCATGGTGCTTGGTATGTGAGAGAATTTTGGGAGTTTTGGTGAATGGTGGTTTGGTGTTTTTTTTGCTGAAAGAAAAAATATGGGAAGGAGTGTGTACCTTTTGAAGCAAAGACAAGAAAACAAGGAGGAATAGTCTACCTTGCTAAGAGCACTCCCATTATTTAAAGAGACAGTAACTGCAGCCTCTTCCCGGGATTTGGTCTGGCCAACTGAATTTAGGAGGAATTTGTGCTGGAAAATTTGGGTTTCTTGACTCTGTGGGCTTAGCCCACAGAGCCAAGAAAAAGGGGGGATGCTCTGGCAGGAAGATACCACCACTTTGTGAGTACTGCAGAAGCAGCACACAAAGCCTCTGAGCATGTGCAAAGTTCAAAGTACTTTGGGAAGTTTGAGCAGCTCTGCTTCCAGCCACAGATTGGAGGCGGGGTTTGCACTAGTTCTCAAAAGAAAGTCTGAGTCTCTAGAAAGCTCTCAAAGGAAACCTTGGTGTCTTAAAAATAAATAAAAGCTGTGTAACTGAGGTAAGGCATTTGAGGTCCTTTGCATGCAAAAAAAGCTTGCTTTGCCTCAGGAAAATTCTGCCTGGGAAGGGTTGGGTTAAAACAAAGACCCTTAAGCACTTAATGAGTCACTAGGAATTTTAAGGCAGGGAATCCTTCCAAAAAGCAATGTTTTGAGCATGTGATTTGTATCAGCCATCAAGAGTTTTCCCTCTCCAATAACTTCTATTTTTCTATGTAACATGGATCTGGATCTTATGTGTGTGCGTGTGTGGGTATAAGTTCTGAATTCTGAGTATGCCATTTTGCTATTAGCTATGCTACAACTGAAGACTTGGGAGGGAATGAATGGATGAAACTCTGGGCTGTGTGCGTGCGTGTGTGCAAGTGCACGCAATGGGAAGAGTCTCCTTTTAAATCTGTGAGGCTACTTCTTCCCTTTTTTGGTGTTAAACAGAAAAGTTTTGTTTTGCAATGTTTTGCAATATCAATGATAGTGATACTGCTGTTACTATCACTGGTATTGATGGTGCTACAAAGGTTTTTTTTTCCTTACAGTAGCGTAGCCTAATGTTTGTTGGGGACTGAACCCATTTGCCAGCCCAAGGATGTGGGCAGCTAGAATGGCAAGTTCTCAAAACTCTTTCCATAAACATAAGCTGTCTCTCAAATTACCAGGGTCCAGAGTTGAGGGCTACTCACTCTGGAAACAGATGTACCTTCCCCAGTTAAAATGTTGTCTCCCCTTATGCTTTTTTTCCAAGTGATGTAGAGCATCCAATCAGCTTTGAATGCTTATAGTTAATTTGTATTGCTTGTGTTCCCTCTGAAAGCAAAACTATCATTCTGTTGAGATCCTTCCATGAGATAATTGTTCCCTGTTGACTTTGACAAAACGTTTTCTTCTTGGTTTTTCTTTTTGGCTGAATTATGGTCCTGTTTGCCCTAAAGTGCCCTGTGATCTCCCAGAGGAAGAAAGGGGTGCTGTCCTGAACAGGCAGGAGTAGCAAAGGCTTTCTCTTCTCTGCATCCCAGGTTGCTGTTGCCCGTGGGAAATTTGCCTCTGGAAGAAAATGAGCAGGTTGCATGTGGGGGTGCGGCAGTCTCCTCATGCAGACTGATATGAGGGTCATCACACCTCACCTGTGGAATTCCCTTTCAAGGGAGGTGCCACTGGCACCTGCTTGATCTTGCTTTCAGACACGTTAAAACTTTTTTATTCAGTATCTGTTTTAAGATTGGATTATTGGTTTGCTGCTGGTTTATTGTTTCCTTGGTTGTCATTATTGGTTATATGGTGGATCAAGAAATGGTCTGACTCTGCACCTAAGGATTTGCTCAAGAGCTGTGGCTTACTTTTCCCTTGAGGGATGAATTGGCTCCATTTTCATGTAGAGCAAAAAGCAACAAGTTTGGATGGGGTTTCCACTCAGGGCCTTCAGGGCCTTACTGCGGCTGCAAGTGCAGAGTCTCACTTTTCCCCACACACGTCCCTGTGGAAGTGGCCCCTAGTAGCTGCTAAGAAGAGACGGAAAGGTGGGAGAGCAACGTGACAAGCCGTGGGTTCTATCTGTCCTGCAAACTGTCCCCTAAAGCTCCTAAGCTAACAGGGCGTATGCTGTTTCCCGCAACATGTGTGCATTAGATACTGTCTATTCTTGTGAGGGTGAGATTGTACCTCTGCTATTACAGTTTGTAAAAAAATGTGTGTGGGTAGCATAAAAAAAATGCTAGCAGTCTGTATTTTAAGGTTTGTTTGTGCTAACAATGGGTTGGTGCATTTTGCATCCGTGTGGGAGAGTATCATCCCTGTAATAAGAAACTGTGTAAAACTGTTCTGATTGTCCAGCAGAAAGCACCTTTGTTTTTGGCCTAGGCAAGCAACAGGTTCATGCAACACCAGTTCAACAAAGGATTTATTTTTTGTGCATTTTTACATTGATTGGATTGATTTCAGCAACCCGCATTTTTTTCTTCTTGAGACTGTGCTAAAGAAGGGACAGACTATTACATCTTGAGGTTTCTCTCCAAACTCATGTGGATCTCTGCTACTGTCTACAACTAGCTTCTGTGGAGAAGTGTAAAAGCTTTTTTCCTCTTAATTAACCTGTTTTTGAGCTGCACCCTTCCAGGAACCAAACAAGCCACGCTGGCACCTCAGAAAAGAAAAAAAGACTCTTTCTCTACAGCCCTGGAAGGAAAAGCCCTCCATGTCCCATGCTATGCCCTGGTTCCAGGAACTGAAGTGACTGATGGGAATTCATTCCTGTGTTCTGCCTTCCCCATTGCTTCATCCACAAGGAAAGAACTAACCAGGCCAACCGAGAGAACTGGACATCATGTCATTGCTTCACCTCACACTGCTCCCACCTTACAAAGCACCAAGTTTGCTGACCAGAAGGAGTGGTGGCCTAAAACAGGATAGTCCTCACCGTGAGGGCCTCAGCCCAGACGAGGATGAAATGCCTAAGGCCGCAATGGGTCAGAGGAGGCCTACGGAGCAAAGGAACCAAGCCTCAAAATTGAGTGGCAAAACTGGAAATAGGTGAGGTAGCAGGTGAGAGCTGGCTGGCACTGAGTTCTTTGCAGCCAAAGCGGGGCCAAAATCAGCATGGAGTTTCCCAGGAGGACTAATAGCATTGGGGTTGCATATCATGTCTTTTGAACTTTCTTTCTTTTTCTTCCGCTACTTTTCCAATTGTTTCCCATTTTTCCTACCCTTTGAACTCTCAGCAAATACACAACTCTCCATTGTATGAAATAACTTTCTCCTCACATTAGTTTAGTTTTGAGATGGAAGCGGTTTTTGGAAAACCTTGGAACAGGATTTATCCAAACTGACTCACTTGTTTGTGTCACAAAGCGAAGCTAGTGACAAAGGGGGGATTGTTGGGAAAATTTGGGTAAATCCTGTCTGAAAAGCATTACTCCTGTGTGCCTTTGCATTGTGGGATCAAATCCTGTCTTCCTTCTCAAAACCAAGCTGTCACTGTTTAAAATGGCATCCCCCCACTCCTTTCTCTCACCTTTAGCTGTGGGATACACTAGACAGACCATTTTAGCCCAAATATACATTGTAAATAGTCATTGTTGGAACTCAAGGAAGTATCTTCCTAGTCCAGAGGCTCCATGTGCCCTGGCCAATTCAAAATGTTTAGATTCTAGATAAGAGTCTTGAGCTCATGCATAGTTTCAGTGGCTTGAATTTGCATGTCCAAGCAGACCTGGAGATGGGTTCAAGCTACTGAACTAAGGTGTCAATACAGGCAATTAGAAATATTGTAATCTCATTGTCACTGTGTGAATGACTGACATTTCTTTATCTGTTCTGTATGTGATGACCTCAGAATCTTATTGTAATCGCTGCATTCTGTCATCAATGTGTATGTGACTGTGGGAGTGTATAAAAACCCTCTAGTTGTGTTGTAGCTTGGCAGAAGAGTTCACCTCTGCCTGCCCAGTAATGCAGCCTGCATTATCGTGAGCACCGCGGGAAACTTGGGGTAAATACAATAAAGCCTCAGATGGTCTGGACGCTTGGTCTTTCCCACGAACCCGAGTTTTATTCCCTCTTCTCAAATTGAGATTCCGGGATTCTGACACTTTCTATCCAAAATATTATTTAAAACTTTTCTATAGAGTCCCATACTTAGACATCTCGGGACGGTTTACAGCAAATTAATCCTAAAAACAGAAATAAGAATAACACTGGCCCAGCATCCAATGTTAAAATATAAACCCACTAACTAAAACAAGTTAACAATTAAAATACTGGGAGAATAAAAAGATTTTCACCTGACACTGAAAGGAAAGAAGTTTTGGCGCCAGGTGGATCTCTCTGGAGAGTGTACTCCACAATTGGGGTGCCACCACAGAGAAGGCCATCCTCCCGGTAGTCACCCTCTTGACCTCTTTCAAGGATGGCCCCTGACTCAGATCTCAAGGGGTGGGAGGGCACATGGGGAGAAGGTGCTCCTTCAGGTATCCAGGACCCAAGCCATTCAGGGCTTTATAGGTCATTAAAGGGACTGCAGGTGGCTTTATTGGCCATTTCCAGCACCTTACATTGGGCCTGGACTTCAACTGGTAGCCAGTGTAGATGTTAGAGGACCAGCGTTATATGTGAACACCCTCCACTGTTTAATATGAGGAAATGAGGAAATTCCCAGCTGTGCTGAGTAGTAGTCTAAGGATTCCTTCCAAACCCCAGTTGGGCTACTGACAACCTTCTTCTGTGGCACATGTAAGGACTACCAAGGGCCACAGGACATGTGCACAGAAGGATGCTGCTTGCTGAGCATTATGCGCAGCCCTGATTCCTGGTGGGCATTCACATGAACACTTGACATACTGTCCAGGAAGCCAGACTCATGGTTGTGAGAAAGGAGGCCAGAGTCTGGAGAGCCCAGCCCAAGGAATCCTACAGATTCCCACCTCCAAAAGGGACTCCTTACACAGTACAGCTACTCCCTGTGGATCATGTTGTGGCTACCGGCCATATACCTGCGAGTTGAAAAATCTGTCCAAAAAAAAAAAAACTGGCAACCCTAATTGAGCACAAGCCAAACACAAGACAGGGATCAATCCAGGACTTTTTTTCCCTTGAGTTCCATTTCTTTTTTTGCTTTAAAAGTGCTTACCAAAACTGTACTGACAGTATTTACATTTGGGAAGACACGCACACCAAAAAGAGTTATATAATCAGAAAAAAACAGACTTGGTAGTCAAGAGGGCAACGCCACCCTTGCATGCATAGCCAGAAGAGTGGCTTCTAGATTGAGAGAGGTATTACTACCACTCTATATGACTGCTGCACCTGCAACTGGAGTACTATGTTCATTTCTGGGCCCCACATTACAAGAGGGATATAGCAAGGTTGGAATCAGTACAGCTGGTTTGCAGGGGATGCTGTATGAGGTGAGACTGAGGGAGCTGGGTCTGTTCAGCCTTGAGAGGAGGAGACTCAGAGGGGACCTGTTAGCGATGTACAATATGGCAACCCACCATGGGCGATCAGTCCTAATAGGTTGCCATGTAAGCCTAGCACAGGTTCTGCAGAATGGCTTACTTTTCACAAACACTTCCCTGGGAATCCATGGCTTGTTTTAGAATTGTTGACAGCCAGGATGGCTTGTTGTGTCATCCAAACCTGGCAGGGCAATATTGTCCTGGGCTGCAGAAATCATCCAGCCAGAGCAACATACTCTCTTGTTGCTACTCGTCTTTCTTCCGCTGCCAGCCTAATCCCTGGTCAGTGCTATCTGGCCTGGCGTAAGGTCCAGGGCATGGGGTGGCAGAAACCTAGACAGAGGCACCAGGACCCAGGCAACACAGCCAATATGGAATAAGGCCAGAGTCCAGTCCCAAACAAATCCGGTTGCACTCCAGAAAAGTCAGGAGCAAACTGGGAGCAAACAGGGAAGCAAACAAAGCAAAGTTCTATAAAGAAGAGCATGGTAAAAAATGAGCCAGAAATTGGGAGCCAGAAATCGCTCCTTTGTAAGCCGCTCCGAGACTTTCTGCAATGGGGGCGGCATAAAAATGTTTAACAGGTATGTGAGGGGGTGTCACACGGAGGTGGGTAGAGGCCTGTTCTCCCCTGCAGAGGAAGGCAGGATGCGCTCCAACGGAGCAAAGCTCAGGGAACCCAGGTTCCATTTGGATGCCAGGAAGCACTTCCTAACAGTCAGGACCCCGAGGGTGTGGATTGGGCTTCCACGAGAGGTCGTTGAGGCCCCATCGGTGCGGGTGTTCAAGGACAAGCTGGACGTCCACATGGTGGGCATGTTGTGAGCGCAGCCGGCTGGACCTGGGGGTCAGACTAGATGGCTCGGGAGACCCCTTCTGACTTGCTCTGTTATGTTACTATAATGCCCCCAGCTCTCAGTGCAGTCCATCAATCTAGAAATATAGCTTGGTTGATAATATCAAAAGCCTTTGGGAATTTCAGGAGATCCAACAGGCCTGCATTCCCCTCTCTCGCTTGGCAAAGAGCTGAAGCCAGACTGGAACATCCCCTCATTCCCTCTCTTTCAAAAAGACTGACTCTGCTCTCAGCAGGGCTCCTGCTCTTGCAGGCAAGGCAGTGAGGATGCCAGACCCTTTGCGATTGGTCCCCTTGCTTCACCTGTCATCTCCTGACTAGGTCCAGAAACTGCTCCTGTATCTTCTTTCCACCCAGTTCTGAAATGCCTTCCCCATTTTCTGAGCAGAGCTGCTGGCCGGGAAAGCCATATGAGGTGAGACTGAGGGAACAGGGTCTTTTCAGCCTGGAGAAGAGGAGACTCTGAGGGCAGACATGCACATGGTGGGCATGTCATGAGCGGGGCTGGCTGGAGCCAGGGGTCAGACTAGATGGCCTGGGAGACCCCTTCTGACTCGCTCGCTTTCTATGTTTCTCTGTGTTTCTATGTCCTCATGCTCTGCCTGAGTATCTTCACTAGATAAGCTTGAAAAGGTATCTGCTGTTTGCCATCTCCCCAGAACTGGATGACTCCATCTGAGGAAACTAATACGTGGGAGCTGCCTGCCCTGCTCTGCAATGTTCTCATCATCGCCACCGCCGCCAAAAAGGACCTCTTCACAGTGGGGCCATCACAGGCACTCTTCAGGCACGGATTAGCAAGAGGGTTCTTGAACATAACAGCATCAGTTTACCACAACTCAGAAGAAGATGCCTTGCCATTTAAAGAGAGCGCTTCAACATACCCTTTCAAGTAAGGGAACCAAAGCATAGCACCATCTAAAGAGAGGGCTTCATAAGTTCGTTAAACCCAGAACCTAAAGCTAGTGAATTGTACCCCTGCTCTGCCACCAAAGTGGCCAGGTGCATATGTGCATTTCTATATTTAGTTTCCACAAGCGGAAACAAAACAGCCTATGAGCACAGGCAGCATTTTCCACATGCCAAAGGGTCAGGGGAATGATCAGGAATGAGGTCACTCCTATCTGATGCCCCCTTTCCTATCCCTTGGCTCCCAAGCAAGATCTTCATTCCCTGAGAGATGCAAACAAGGCCCTGGGCACTGGCGGATAGGGCACAAGTGGGACCGAACCCAATTCAGGTCAGGTCTTAAGTACGGAAGTGATAGAGCTCTTAAGATCCAGGCCAGCTCTCATGTTCCAGGACTAAAATAGCAATTAAAAAGAAAGAAGAGAAAGCTGTAAGGCGCAGATCTAAAGCAATGCCTGCTTTGTCCTTCCATCTGGCCCAGAGAGAGCAGCGTGCTTAAAGCCTCCTAGCAAGTTCAGGATGGAGGAGGGATTTACATCAAGGAGTAAATGGTTAATAACTCAGGCTTTTGGCCACAGTGCTATACAAGCTGTCACACAGTTCATGGGTAATTACTGCCATCTTAAAAGGAACAGTGTCTTGAATGCAGGAATCACAATACATTCTTAACAACTTGGCTCAATTAAGATGACTGCGGTATGTGAGGGAATTATAGAGGGGCCAATGCTCGCCAAGCAAATTTGAGATTGTGTGTGAGAGAGGGAGCAAGTGAGAAATATGCACTGCGTACTAATTATGGCGGTTAACAAGCACGTGCTGCTGCTGCTGATCTTGACAGAAACGTCTCCATTCACAATGGCTTTCTGGGCAAAGTGTTTGAAGGAAGAGATTCGGAGACAAGGCAGATGATTGACGGCAGCGCATGGCACCCAATGCGTCCCTTGTCACTTGAGGGAAGAGACGGAAATAGAACCGTTCTTTTAATGTTTCAACTGGAGCTGACAACTGATGCAAGGAGAATGGCTTGCAACGTATAGCTCAAGCGACTGAAAAGGCTTGTTTTTTCTTGAAGCCTCTTTGTAAGCCAGTCATTTACAAATTCTTCATTTGGATTATGATTCTCAAAGAGAGGACTCTCACACACCTATGTTTCATTAGATTTCTCCTGGGGATGGGAGGTAATTCCCTGTAGTTCACTTTTAAATGTAAGCTTACCTACTTTGACACTGTTGAACCAACATGGGGACCAAACTCACATTCCCTTTGAAGTTTGCAGTTTGCAAATTCAGAATTTTGCAGTTGAGTTCTTCAGTCAAAAACTGTGCACACAAAAGCATATGTGTGAAGATCCAAAAATACATTCTCTAATGAAAAGTGCATGCGGAAAGAAATCTATATTAGGCAAAAAGAGTGTGCAAGGTGCACTTATAGGATAAGCACATGCAAAAATACATATATTTCTCATGCAAAAAAATGAAATGAACTAAATAGAAATTTGAAAACAAAAGTCCTCAGAATTTGAGAGAACTGAAGTTAAGATAGGAAAAGCAAGCAACTGAAGGGAATCCTTGTTTTGGCTTAGGAATGGCTCAGTCTGAAATCTGTTAAGAATTAGAAGCAGACCTAAGCTAGAGGATCCAGTGGTCTGACTGGGCCTAAAGAGGCCACCTAGAAACCTCTTCTGCCTCCATTACACACAACCTCAGCTCTGTGCAGGCCCATTCCCAGATGGTTTCCCTTTCCAAAGCAAGGATGGCAGATCAGATGAGCCTCTGACTAGAATAATCTGTGGGGAGGGAGGGCTGGCCGTCATCTCCACCCGCCAAATGGAATGGAAGCCCTCGAAATGTCCCCTCCATGGCATCCCTGCTCAGCTGTCCTGAATGCAAGGCTGTGGCTTCCTCGGTGAAGTCCGTCCATCTCTTGGCGGGCCAGTGAGCTCATTGAGGCTCGCTTTCAGAGCCGTGATGCCAGTGTGCTGCACCGGTTAGAGCATGTGCTGTGCAAGTTACTCAGCTAGTGATACCCGGGTCCCGATCCCCACCATGGGCAGACGTATGACAGAACAGATGTGTCACCAGCAAAGCACATGGACCCGTCTTTATCACAGAGGATCTCATTCTTCAAGAACACCTACATCTGTGCCTACATACTTGTTTATGCGCTGAGTGAGAAAAAGTTACCCTGCGTGGATTACCTTGCTGTGCATTGACCAAAAGCAATTTACAGAACAATCTTATGCATGTACAGGCAGAAGGAAATCTCATCAGCTTTAGACTCCAGGCCTCACCCCCAGAGGAATCCCCTCAGAGTGCCTTCTCCTGCTGGTATTTCTCATCTGAGATCAAAAGTAATACAAGGATGATAGTCTCGGTTGTTACTTTTCTGATTACTATTTTGCAGTATAATCATGGGCATACGTGTGTGAAACTGGAGGGTCCAAACCCAATTTCCTCTGAGAGATTAAAAACCAAAGCCAGAAAACCAAACAGAAGTGATGGAAAAGAGAGGAGGAGACCAAGTCTATGTCCCAACACACTGCACACAGGGGAACTCTGGGGGAAAGGCAGCCCCGTCCCACCAACAGCTGTGATCACCAGAGTCACCTCCCTTCTGCAGCGTCAGGCTATTTGAATCCAACCCATCGCTTGCATTAATCATAGAGGTTGCTTCTCACATGAGGGAAAGATTTAAGTCCTCTTACTTTTCTTGTTTCCCTGAAAAATAGCCATCCTGTGCATTGCTATCATTTTCTTAATCTAAAAATCAAGCGTGCAGGTGAATGGGGCATGGAATATCAAATGCCTTATACAGATATTACATGTACATGTACTTCCTGGCTTCATACATACCCCTTAAAGTAATGTCGCCCTCCAAAGTATAGACAAAGAGCAATGGCAGTTTGCCAGGATCCTCTGCACATCAGTTCACTCCACCTAACTCCTTGGTCTGAGCTCAGGTTTGTGAACACTGTTCTGCAACACCATGTACCAAACAAAAAAACCCCTCACATTGGCACAAACCTCCAATCCCCGCCACCCCCAGACTAAAGTGTGGACAACTGAAGAAACCGGTTAGTTCAAGGAAGTTGTGCATTTTGAGAAAA